AAAAAAATTAATAGCACACGATCTTATCTAATCTTTTAGCATTTTATTTTATGATATCTAATTGGTAGTTAGAAAGTTCAAGTCATAATGAATAGTACTGTGATATCACATGGTCAATGGTGTAGCAATAAAAGCGAGTTACAATGTCAATTTCTTTGTTGTTCACAAAATTTTAATTTTTTTCTCAAATTTAAAACTGATATATTCAACACATAATATTGTGTTTGGTTTTTTTTGCCAGAATTTTTTAGATTAAGTGATATTAATAAAAAGTATTTTTTTTCTATTAAACATTAATATATGATCAGATACTGGTCTAATAATATGGGTTTAGTAAACAATAATTTTGATTAAAATAAGTTTTGGATAGTTTTAATACCATTTTAAAAAACACACTTTAATTCCAACATAATTCTATATAACTGATTTAAAAAATTAAACTTACACAAATTTGGTGCTTCAGAAAATGTGGAGTTGGTTTTCAAACGCAATTGTGTGATAAAAAAGCAGATTTCGAAAATCGAAGTGCTTTATATGAAATGGGAAAGTGCTTGGAATAGCTTATGAGAGATTGAAGTTCTGAACATGTGAATCTTGGCTTGTGGCAATAGAATAGTTACTCCATCTGTGTAAGACCACATGGAAGCACTTTTAAATAATAAAAAAAGTTGTAAATAATGGAAAGACAAACGCACTTATTGTCACATAAATTCACCAAACATGTCCTTGAATGTTTGAGTCGATGTCGCGTGTATCAACGTGCATTGCTTCCCTCCACTCTGCAATAAGCGTTGACCAAACTCACAAAGAACAATTACTGCTACTTACTTTTATTGCTATCCAGCTGCCACTTTCTCCTTCAACTGACACACTCGTTATTTTTCTAACATGTAAATAAAATAATTTTAATTTAACAAAAAAATTGTTTCACTTTTTTATTTCTTTTAACCTTTCTCTACATATATTCTAGGTTTAATAGGTTCGGAACTCTCCATATTTGCGGGGTCAATTTGATTCAATAATAGTATTTTTATTAAATACAACGACGTTAACATTTTCAAAAATAGGAAACATTGCTTTAATATGTTTAATAATTTAATATGTTTAATAATTTCTAATTATATTTTCATTTATTAATATATTTAACAATTAAAAATGTTAAAAATTCACCTATACAACTCAAAGGTGCCACCTGGATGCCTCAGCTTGCCACCTGTTAAAAAGTTAACGTCTACATTTAAAGAAAATGCTATTATTGAATTAAATTGACTAAATTAAAAATTCAATTGATCACTTTCAAAATTGAAGGACCCAATTAAAACAAAACCGCAAATATAGGGACTTCCGAACCTATTAAACCTATATTCTAAACATAATAGATGACATAAACAATGTATTTTCTATTATTGGCCTGTTTGGCACTAATATCTGATAATTAGGTCTTTGGAAGTTAAAAATAATTTTAATTGAAAACTAAAATTTAAGAAAATGGTATACATGCTAGCGTTGGAAATGGGCTTTACAGGCCCAGGCCATCTTAATATTCAAACATAATTGAAAGTTATTAAATATTGAGATTTATTGAAGTTATGTACTTAGTTATGTGAATGTTACATCTTATATTCGTGGGATTTTGGCCTTTATTTCTTAATACCATGTGAATTCGTGAGATAGTGGTAAGTGGAAAGTGTGATTTTATAGGTTAATTTTTCTTCTCTTATAAATAGACGTGTTTCGTCAACTTCAAACTACACTTTTCCTTATTTATTTTTTATGTTTGCTGGTTTTATATATCACTCGAAGCTATACAAAATCTAAAAAATCTAAATTTTGGAATGTAGTGTATAATAATTTAAATTTATATTACTTTAAATCCATTCAAATAGAGTTGTCTTAAATTTAAATTCATATCTTTTTAGATTTTAAGTTCAATTTACTTAATTGAATTTGAATTAGATTTATGTTGGATAATTTTTTGAATTTTGAAAATCTAAAATGAATGTATTTCTAAGTAGTTTTAAAACATCTCAATAGAATTAATTTAAGTTGAGTTGTCTCAAGTCAAGTCAAAATAGTTTAGGTAGAGCGAAGTCAATTCAATTGAAGGTTGAAATGAATCTACTAAAGTTAAGCCAAGTCAGTTCAATTGAAGGTAGAGCGAAGTCAGTTCAAGTAGATCAAAGCCAAAGAAATTAAGTCAAATCGGCCTAAGCCAAAAAATCAGCTTAAGCCAAAGGTCAAGTTAAGTCATATTGAACCCATGATTAAGTTGAGTTGTCACATGTCTAATGTCAAGTCAAGTCAATACATTCTAAAGTTGAGTTGAACTAACTCATACATAAGTTGAGCCGAGTCGATCTAGATCCAAATAGATCTAAATTTAAATTAAATGAAGTTGATTCAGATCCAGATTGACTAAAGATAACTTTGGTCAATATTGAAATGTGATCCAAACTAAATTGAAATAGACGAATAAGCTCAAATCGAAATGAGTTGGATTAACTCATGTCTAATAGATATAATAGTCAAGTATATAAATCGATTTCATTATATCTAACTTGATTGACAAAGTAGATTCAATTTAAATTTAATATATTTTAAATGAAACTAAAAAAATCAAATAAGTTGTTATAGTTAAAGTATATATGAATTATAAACTTAATATAAATTTTTAAATCTAATTTGAATCTAAACCAAAGTTTAAAATAACATAACCCTTATACCTAAGAGCTTGGCTACATACCATAAACAAACTTTTAAGAATATTGTTTATCTATTGTTAGAAAGTCACTTTGTTTATATTATATTAACAAGGTTACTACATATTTTTTATGCATTTTGTTTTCCTAACTTCAATAAGACAAAACTCTGCATGCAATTAAAAAATATAAATTAGAATTACAACAATTCATTCAATATAGTTGTTAAAAATAAGGTTTGTAGCGTGATTATGAAGTCACAACACTAAATTTTGTATCCAATTATTTTCTAAGGTATCAAGTTTAAAATCATTGAAGTACTACAGTTTTAATAAATTTCTTCTTGTTTTTATTCTTTTTATTTTTACTGTTATTTCATATCCTTTATTAAATGGATCTAAATCAATAATATGATTTTTTTAAAATTCTTATATATAACGTTATCAATATGTTTTTATTAAAGACTTCAAAAATTATTCCTTTTTCCTTTTTTTTAAATGTTTAGTGAAATACATTATGCATTGAGAATATATTTTTTATTGTATTAACTAATCAAAATTAAAATAAAAAAAAAATTTCCAGTATGTAAACATAGAACCATAATGTGGGGGGTAATGTGTGAGACTTTATTCAAATTCTTAATGAATTTGTCTTTGTATAAATTTCCTTTTTAGTATACAAAAGTTAATATAATAGAACCTGCTTAAAATTTGGTAAAAACTTTACTTTATGATAAATTTTTGGCATATGCTCTAAGTATTTTTCTTTGTACTTCTCTACAACAAAACAAAGCAAAAGAGCCAATGGTGCTAATAATCAAAATTACACCATTATAATATTCAATGGATTAAATTAATTGTTCGAGAAGAAACACATTTAAGTCTGAACTTTTTACTATTATATATTATTATTATTATTATAACAATCATAATTACAACAACAATATTGATGATAATAATTAAAAAATATATATGTCATGTTAAATGTATTTTTATAATATAATTCTCATCTTTCCATTAATTATATAAATCATGTAGTTAACATGATATTTAGTACTATTATATTTATAAGGAGAGTTTAATAGAGACCAAGTATTATTTTACACACAGAAAAAAAAAGGAAAAAAAAGGCATGCATTAACATAATATTGATAGATAGATAACTGAAAATGATATGAATAAATTTGCATGTGATGACATGACTTGTTAAAATGGGTGATAGCACAAGTTTGGTGCATTAAACCGCTTTGTTAAGAGTTAGGAGATATTAATCTCTTACCCAAATTTAGTTAGAAATTAGTTAAAAAGATACACATGTCTTTTAATCTATTTTATATTATAAACTAATTAGAGTCACTCCTTTAAAATAATAATAATACTTTAAGTGAATACATTAATTATTATTTTCTTACAAACCATCTTATCAACACTATTATTACCTTCTGTCCTCGAATTTGTTCTCACTTATTTTTTTTACCAAAAATATTAAAATTGACTTTTTATGAGATAAACTTATTTTATACATAAAATAATTTGCTTTTCTTCCTTTTGCATACTTTTAGCTTTTATATAAGTTGATTTTAATTTACTGAAATGTCAAATTTATTTTATTTATTCATATTTCTCTTCTAAATTTTAAGGCATATATAACTTTTCTCGTACTTCCATTTATTTATACCTTAACCGCTATTATCTGATTCAAATCTAACTATATGATTTAAGTGCAGAAGACCAATATTTTGATATCCTCTATATACAATAGAAATGAAATATATATATATATATATATAATGACTTGTAGCAGGTAACCTGTCATCTCTGCAAGTTCATTATCATGTATTAACATCCTAGTCAATTTTGAGCCAAAAAATTACAGAAAATATAAAAAGTAGTGCAGTATGCATGCCAAGTTGAATATAGTACGTAGAGTCTACCTTTTTGTGTACAACAACCGAAATAACTCATGCACATGCTTCTCTCTAATCCCTCCCACAGAATCTCAACCACTTAGCTCCACCATAGTAAATGAAAGAAGCTAAAAGTCATTGTATTAGGGACTTGAGTGTGATTGATTAGTTCTGGTAAAAAAATCGCAGAGAGAGTGATCACTAAGAAGCTTATAATATGCATTGAATTAACCAGAAGAGACAAGTAAGATATTAGTATCATCAATGGAGAGAGAGAATAAGAGAAATTGTATATAATGAACCACTTTACGCGTTCACATTTAATAGCCGTGCCTAACTCCCATCCTCCTCCTTCAATAGATGTCATTTTCAGTTGTCATATATAAGTTCTCCATTTTCTGCTGCACTCAGTGCATCCAAAACCAGAATAGCATCATGATGAACATTGCACTTCTTGTTCAACTCTTTGCATTTTCCTTCCTTAGTTGTGTATATGCACAAGACACCACCACCCTTGTGCCTGCCATCGTAACATTTGGTGATTCTGCTGTGGATGTAGGAAATAATGACTATCTTCCCACAATTTATAAGGCTAATTACCCTCCCTATGGGAGAGACTTTGCTAACCACCAACCAACTGGGAGGTTCTGCAATGGCAAATTAGCTACTGATATCACTGGTATGGCAAAATTAAACCTTTAAAGATCAAACTTGCACCTACTTTATAGAGTAGATTAGATATATATGTAGCACTGCTCATACTCATGCATTTAAGTTTCATTATTGTTGGAATGTTTCCTTTTTGCAGCTGAGACGTTGGGTTTTAAGACCTATGCTCCTGCATATCTTAGCCCACAGGCGTCAGGGAAAAACCTCCTTATTGGAGCAAACTTTGCTTCTGCTGCATCTGGTTATGATGAAAATGCTGCTATTTTGAATGTAAGTTTGGAGTGAATAACTTCATGTATGGTTTTACAAGAATTCTGGTTTTAACAGTTTCTTTTATTCCTCTGGGCAGCATGCAATTCCATTGTCCCAACAGTTAAGTTATTTCAAGGAATACCAAGGCAAGCTGGCCAAGGTAGCTGGCAGTCAAAAGGCAGCCTCAATTATCAAAGATGCATTGTACGTGCTCAGTGCTGGCAGCAGCGACTTTGTGCAAAACTATTACGTCAATCCTTGGATCAACAAAGTATACACACCTGACCAGTATGGCTCCTTCTTAGTTGGTTCGTTCACCAGTTTTGTTAAGGTATTATGTCAAACTGATTTGGTTGGTTATTTTTGCTACTGTTAGAACATATGTGAGTATGTGTGTGTGTGTGTTATTACTAAAAAAGTCCCATGACAAGTAAAAGTTCTATATCAGATAGAGGGCATGTGTTCAATTGGTTCCAATCTTTTGAACAATATACCTAATGTTTGGTACAGATCAGACCAGTCTACATTCAACTCAAGAATTAGTCCAACGTTGAAAAACTAACTTTGTTTTGGACACAGGACTTGTATAAATTGGGAGGCAGGAGACTTGGAGTGACTTCACTCCCACCATTGGGTTGCCTACCTGCTGCAAGGACTTTATTTGGTTTCCATGAGAATGGTTGTGTCTCAAGAATCAACTCTGATGCCCAAGCATTTAACAAGAAGATCAACTCAGCTGTAGCAAATCTTCAAAAGCAACTTCCGGGTCTCAAGATTGCTGTTTTTGACATTTACAAGCCTCTCTATGACCTTGTTCAATCCCCTTCAAAATTTGGTACTAATATTCACTATTCAACATTGCAGTAAAATGATATTGTTCTCTCTAACCTATGGCACGATGCTTTGCAGGTTTTGTGGAGGCAAACAGAGGTTGCTGTGGTACCGGGACTGTGGAGACAACATCTTTGTTGTGTAATCAAAAATCACCTGGAACTTGTTCTAATGCCACCCAGTATGTGTTTTGGGATAGTGTCCATCCTTCACAAGCAGCTAACCAAGTTCTAGCTGATTCATTAATTATCCAAGGCATAAGTCTTATCACATAAAGAGTCGTGATTATTTGTGTGGAGATAGTATTGTGTACTACTACACAGCGTGAAAGTGATTCAATGTTTGCTGTTTTTCCTTTGTATGGACAAAGAATTGCTCTATGTATTTCAGATCATGAGAAATTTCAGATAAACTTGTTGTAAAACATTTCATAATAACAGAAATATTTACTTACTAGCATTATTTTTGTGGTTAAACTTAGACTAACACGAGGAAAATCCAATCATGAATGATTTTAAGAAAGACAACTGCAATATAATTAAGGAAGGAAGGTTATATGATACAGCAAGTATACGATTCATCCGAATATATACAATCAAAATAACATGTAATTGTTAAGAGGAAAAAAACCAAGTTTATCTCCACCTCACAATCTGCCTCACCAGATTGAATATTCAACAGACACAACTTTTGAACAAGTCCATGTAGCACTGTGGTGGAAAAGCAAAATGAGCAGAATTCCTGAAGTAGGATGAAGGGAACTTAATACTAAACCTGACGGTTCAAAATTTTTCATCAGAATTTTGTAATATAGTTAATCTAGAAATTACCAATTGCAAAGAAGCAAGTTATGGCTAGAGAAAAGGATCATAATGAATCGCCAGAAGTTAAAATTTTACCATACTCACAGAATTACTATGCATGAATTCTTGCCTATGATTTTAAGTGCCTCCCTCCTTAATTATTACATGGTTATCTGAACAGCTCCTAACGTCTAATATTGTACATCAGGATTGATTGCTAAATAAACCCTGCTAATCTGTAATATTCATCGTAATGTAAAATCCTTGCATATGTAGCTAATAAGTTAAAACGAACTATATGCTGCTGATCTTCTGTGTGATTTATGTTTGGGGGCTTCACTGGAATTTTTTAAAGCTTCAGCATATTTGACCAAATTAGTTTTCTCCATGCCAGGGGATTCTGAGAAAGAATCGAGGCGGTTTTTGGAATCTGCTGAACTTCTTCTCATTGGACTGAAATTCTTGGAGCTTCCTGGGGTATGGCTATATGAATTTCTCCTACTATCATCCTTCATACTCGTGGCTTGGTTATAATCAAAGGAAGTTCTAGAAGTGACAGAGGGAGTCGTATATTCGCTCCTAAGACACTCATTTCCAGTTGACATACTCAAGCTGAAATGTGAACTGCTGCTATCTACCCGGGAAATTGATTTTTCTTTAGATATAACTCGATCACGTTGTTGCTGGCTGTCTTTGCCTCGTATCAGCTTCATAAGCTTGCCAAAAATCCTTGACTTGCTTGGATTGTTAGCTTTGGCCTCAGATGAAGTATCATTAAGAGAATAATCATCATGCTCACCACAGTCTGTGAAACAAGAAGCCTGTGAAGAGGACCATTGGTCAGAGTCCACATCAGAAACGCTCCCTCGCCCATCATTGTTTGCATATTCAAGTATAAGTTGCTTGGCTTTCTTCTCAGAGGTAGGACTCAAGCTTTTACTTAAGTCCCTTGCTGCTGTTTTACCAGGTGGGGGCTGATAACTTCGTAGTTCATGTCTTAAGCAAGCATTTATCCACCGCAAATAAACTAACTCTTCAAGATCTGAACATCTATCTGCATGTAATTGCTCAAGTTCTTTCGTCAACCCTTCATTCTCTTGTCTGAGACGTTCACCTTCTTCTTTCAGAGCTTGTGCCTGCATCCAAAAGCATTAGTTATCAAATATTGTTCAAGTTAAAAAAGCAGTGACTGAGGGTGTGTTTATTTCTATTTTTCAAAACTGATTTTAGTTTTCATCTTGCTAATAAACAAGGGTGTTAATTGAGGGAGAGATTGGACAAGATTAGAACGAAAAAAAGATGAGAAAACATCTTCCAGCTGTTTCTGTTTTCTGGTTGTGAAAAACTAGTTTTGTAAACAATTTCAAAACTTGTTAGATTTTTTATGGAAATTGATTTTAAGTAGTGTGGAATTGTTTGAGAAAACAGTTTTTAAAACAAAGGGGTGAGAGGGGAATCAAACTGGCACCGAGTCATTGGATTGCTTGTAACTTGTAAGTAATATTACTACCTCGGCTTCTTCTAGAACAGCATTTGCAAGGAGCTGAGTAGAATCCAATCTTCGAGATAAGTCAGAATTTTCTATCTGGAGTCTCAAATTAGATTTTCTCAACTGCTCTATCTCACACTCAAGATCCTTAAGCCTTTTCAGCTTAATTTGAATCTCTTGTTCGTTAGCAGCAACTTTAAATTCATGATCCTGCAACTTGGCAACTTTTTGCTTAAGATTCATGATATGCTCCCTATTCTGTTCAGCTTCATACTTAATTTTCTTCTTCAAAAACTTAACTTTCGTTTTTGCAGTCTCAAGCTCAGATACCAGTTTTGCATGATCAGCCACTTGTACCTCCAATCTCCGATTCTCAGACTGCAAGGTCACAAACTTCAGATTGAACATCTTAGCCTCCATATTACTTATCTTCAATCTATTTTGGAGCTCCATCACTGCTGCTTGTTGCTCTTTAATGCCACAGTACTCAAGTAGTTGAAACTGAAGGTTTCTTTCCCTCTCTTGAAGCATTCTGATCATGCTCCTGAGGTTCCTGATCTCTTTCTCATAGTCATCTTTGTCAACATTTGCATATGCCATAGGAGATCCTACTTTTGACCTTGGTGTTTCTACCTCTTTCTTAAAAGAACTACCTTCAATGATGACTCCAAATTCAGCATCCTTGATAGGATCATTAAATTCAGGATGGATGAACTCATCTTTCTCTCCACTTCTTTTAGTCCTCAAAGAGAGACCCAATGGGGAATTTTTACCAATCACCTTGCTGATGCATGTTTCTTCCTGGCATAGAAGAAATTTAATAATCCTATGTTATAGTTGAACTAAATTAGAAATATTTTTTTTCCCAAATTTCAATTTCTACATTTATACAGAACCCGTCAACAATTACAATGAGAAAGCTGAAACAACAAAAGAAAGATAGTCTTTTTCATGTCACTTACAGCATCCAAAACATTTTCCTCTGAAAGATTGGTGCCAGAACTAGAAGCATCCTTTTTACCTCTCACAAAATTATCTTCGCTTTCATGACCTGAAAACACATTATACATATAAAACATCACTTAGATTCATGAAACTAAACAAAGGACAGAAATTTTGTTAATATGTTGATAAACAAACCTGAAGGGTGTCCCTTGGGGGAAGTAGGAGAAGGTTTGATTCTCTTGGCTCCGATATGAGAGTAGAGAAGTCCAGCAAAGGTAAGAGCCAAAGCCAAACCACATTTCAGAAGAAAAGGCTTCATACCCTTTTCCTCTTTCGTTATCAAACCAAAAAACCTAATTATTCTTTCCATCAATCATGAGAGAGATCACAGATTAGACCCTCTTCGTAACCATCCTCTATCCCATGTCATGGCCAAGAGAAAAACACAGAGCCATTTCTGGTTTATTCCTACATACACAACGACCATCGATAAGAAAAAGAAAAAGAAAAAGCCTACAATCCAAACCAAGAAAAATTATTAGCTAATATAGAATATTGTTAATTTTTGTTCGCAAATTGAAAATCTTAAATACATTTGACAGAAAATTTGACTAACCATAATTTCTCTAACATAATAACCATTAAAGTCACATGCACCACGTAAAATCAAAACATAAAAGAGCTAGAAAGTTCGATTCGTTCTAAACAAGAGAAATAATAAAGGAAGAACAACGATACTTGGAAAAAAATATATTCGTGATCCACTACCAAGAAAACTTGATGAATCATGGGAAACATGAACATAAGCAATACCCGATGAACTTTACATTTACTTGTACATGATCATGCTGGAACGCCTCGTGACTCGATTAAAAGGGGCGTTTCTATGATGATGTGTTTTGTAACAGTTTGAATAGCGTATCTGTGCGTCCCTCTCGTGGACAAAGGAACAACTGTGTCTAAACGCAACCTTAGAAGAAAGAACGAATATGTCTTTAGCGACAAATACTGGCCATGGATTTTTGTCTTACGTAAAGGGTGAAGGCGACATGGAAACAGGATCATTTGAGAGGGAGAACAGAAATTGAACTTGAAATTAATTGTCAACACATTTACGTAACAACCAACTGTAAATGGAATAAATATTCTTCATATTTATCCTGTAAGTTATTTAATTATAGAGAAAGTTACCCTGTGAGATCAAATATAGGAAATGGATGCTCACAATTAAGCATACGTGTCCGATTTTGGTTATAGGATCAAAGTTATAAATCTCGTAAGTCTTGGATCAAAGTGTTTGTCTTCACTACTGTTTGTCTTTTGTCGATGTCAAAGTAAGTAACAATAAGCTTAGCAATAAATTCAATTTCATATAAATTCAATTTCATGTTATTTCAAAATTATATTTATAAATTTTGAAATAGAATTCTAAATTACCATATGATTATATTTTGATATAAGCTAATTATTATCAAATTTAATTATTGTTTAAGGACGACTTTTCGATTCATTAGTCCAACCGTTAAGTCTCAAAGTGTTTAGATAAATATTTCTAATTGTATGGATAATTCAATCTTAAGATGACCTAACAACCTACTATAAATGTTTCTTATGTGTTTTTTCCCCATACACATGGTACTATCATTTTCAATAGTTCTATATCATTTAGAAATCGAAATCAAATAACGTTTAATACTTATTTTTTTTTCAAAGCATTTTTTAAAGATAAAACCTTGAAGAAGTTACATATTCTAAAATTGATAATACATTATTAGTCTTATTAATGTCACTCAGAGTGTTTGAAATGGAAAAACTCTTTTTGCACTCATAATACTGTGATATGAAGTTAGGACCAATGTTGAGAATTATATGTAACACCAAATTGGCGACACATTAAATGTATTATTAAATTTTGACATATTTACGTGACGTGCTCCGATTGGTTCAACTATAACTTTTTTTTTATTTTTCAATCTGACGTGGCAATAAGTTAAATAAAATTTCAATTTTTTTAATAAAATATTGAAATAAGTTCAATAAAATTTTATTTTAATAAGTTATCTAGATTAAATTTCAATTTTTTAATAAAATTTAATTATGAGCATATTTCGAAATTAGATAAGCATTTACAAAATCACGTGAAAACATAACAGTTCAGTGTTTTTTTCCTGCCTCCTTTCTCGATTCATCCTTACCTTTTCTTGTCAGAAGAATTTAAGACTAGTTTTCTATAAAATTTTGGTGTTCTTATTTTGTTTAATTCACACTTTTTTATTATTCTATTTTAAAATAAAATATTTTATCGTCAATTATAATGTAATACTTAATCATTGATATCTAATTTTATTCTATTTTAGGCTTAGTACAACCTATCATGAAAAATGATTTAATTAATAAAAAAATAATTATAATTAACAAAAAGGGAATAAGTATATATGATAGAGAATATTAAATCAGAATAGCTATTATTCAAAATAATTAAACTAAATGTTTTTACTTTAAAATAAGAGATCATCCAAGGTTTGAGTTAAACAAAATGTAACATCAAAATAATGTTTAAATTTGTTCTTATTTTACTTTTCTTGCCCTATATGTTTCTACTCGTACTTTACATCTATTCTTTTATACATCTATTCTTTTATTATCATACTGTGAAAAATATTTTTGAAAAAAACACTTTTTAAAAGAAAACACTTAAAATAATAACTTGACTCCAAGATTCTCCCAGAGAAAGTATACTAAAAATAAAATTACACAAAATAAATTTCATAACTATCCTATTTATTTGGACCGCCAAATGGAATATTAAAAAAATATATCAATTTTTTAGATGGAAGTTTAATTAAATAAAATATATTAGTATTTTTATTCAAAATTAATATAATCGATGACATTGAATCGTTAATTGCTGGAAAATTGAATGTTGTAACCTGCATAAGATGATTTCTGAACTAAAACCCTGCAGATTTATACAGATTCACACAAACCCTAACCCTAATTTTGTTCCTAAATGTTTTCCTACTCCAAGTTTAGTTTCTCTCCTTTCCTACTTCGTAGGGCAGATCCAAGAGTAAGTGCAAGCTTTAACATTGACACCCCGCAGGACCCCAATTCAACCGGCCCTCATGGCTCGAATGCTAATTTTGATGAAGAATTTCGAAAGGGAAAGGAAAGAGGGAGAGTGATGGGTGGTAGTGATGGTGGTGGTGGGGTTGTTATTGGGAAGAAGAAGAAGTCGAAGGAGAAAGTTGAATGGGTTTGCTGCAATTGTGGGTACAGTGCAGGACAATGGTGGGGCGTGTGCCGTTCATGCAATGTATCTGGAACTATGAAAGAGGCCAAATTCAGTAGTGATGCTGGTACTGTGATTAGTGGGTTTTCAGTATTGGAAGATAGTGTTGGGTCTTGGCTACCGCAACAGGAAGGAGAGTTACGTCCCTTGAGATTGGCAGAGGTAAACAGGGGCATTGATCATCACCATTGGAGAATTCCTTTGTAAGTTTCCTTCTTCTCTGTATTTGTCTAGTATTTTATTGTTCTTGTTGGAAACATAGCATCTTATGTTCCGATTTGAGTCCAAAAACGATCCATAATGGACACCTTGTGTTTGTATACACGTAGATAAAGTAAAGCGGAGAAGAGAGACAGATGTATGTGTATAGGTAACATATTGTAACAAAAATAGAAAGATAGAGAGAAATGAGTGGTGTCAATAGAGTGATTGTTGCACTGAGGCAGGTGCTCATACTTCATATATCATTTCACTTGAGTCTTACACGGTTTAAGTCATATTAGGTTCAACTCAACTTATGTTCTTTGCGTTTAAAACTTGAATAGTAGGGAAGTAAGGTCTACTGCCATTCTGTATTATGGATTTATGGTCGGTGAAGTTCTTATGGTTCCATAGTTCTGTGTCTGCTAACCTCCGGAAGAAACTCCAATTTGCATGATTTTACACTTCCAATTGTCAAGCACCAGCTCTCTCAAAATCTTAAACATATTGAGATGTGTGTCTGAAGGGTTTTATTGCATATCTAAATCTCTCATCCAAGAGACGGTTGAGCTTGACTTGTAAACAATGTACAAGCCCCCCCTACCCTGAGCTTGAATCCGACTTTTTTATTTATTTATTTATTTATTTAGAGAAGTTAAAAGCTTAAGCTATTATATGTTAGGCGAATAGAATCATAGAATGGTTTTATCAAACATCTCTATTGAAGAACATCTTTTATCCATTTCAACTTGTGTAAGTTGTCCAGAAGATCCATTTTTTGGGGTTTTTCCTTAACAATTTTTCTTTTTTGTGTGTGTGTGTGATTGTAGTAGTTTCTCATTCCCAGCCTACCCAATAAACAAGGAAGAAATTATGGAAAAGTGGTACATATAACTGGGCAGTGACCCTTACCCCATGGGCTAACTTTTGAGGTTAAGTACTTAAGTTAGACTCAAACTCAAATTCCTATACTTACAATTATAGAAAGCATGTTTTTATTTTATTTTTGTAAAAGATAGTTAGAGTTTTTTTATGTAAAAGCTAGTCAAGGTTATTTCTCAAATTAATAAAAAAATGATTTTTTTTTGTTCTGATGTTTTAAAAGTAACTTAAATATTGATATTTTTTTTTCAAAAGAAAGGTTATTTTTCATAAAAACAAACTATAACAAAAAGCTCTACGTCACTGTTCCTTTTTAATGAAAAATTGTGTTCTTCATAAGCATTTTAGTTAGAAAAATATCTCTGGCAATGATCTGAAGGACTCGGTAGTTATTATATACATTAATGTGGCGTCTTTTTCAAGGGTTAGATCGTGTCACTTGCTTTAATTTCAGGTCTGGTCCTTTCGGAGATGAAGTTTGCAGAGTGCTTGGTGGTGGTCTCGTACCAGGTAAATTCCAATTTCTTAACTATATTGATAATCATTGAGAATCTTTTTTGCTTTTTCTTTCCTTTTTGTTCTGCAGGTATTTAGAACTTTTCAGCTGAATTTTTTTTTGGTGCATCTGTAGCAAGGATGTTTAACATCATGGTCTCTTGATTTGGATTTTTACTTTTTTACTGGTTTTTAATTATATATTTTTTGCTGCAAACTATATTAACATATCACTTTATTTATTTCCATAAAATGCGGCTTTTCTATTCTGAATGTAGAGATCAATTACAACTCTAATTAATTCATGCTTAGTTTTCACAAATTTTTTCAACTGGGAGCCTTGTCACTGGTTCACCCCATTTTTCACAAACGTTTTCTCTTGATCATGTTTGAAATAAATTGTTCATTTGATAGGTGTAGACTTGTTTAAAAAGATGCGCAACTTCTGGTGATTTTTCTAGGTGAATGGATGGTGGTTATTGTTATGTTATTTATGGATTCTTGTTCTGGTGTTTTTTTTCTTGGTGTTCCCATGATCCTAATATTTGAGTTCTCATTTTAATGCTTTAGCTATATAATAAGTTATCATGTTTCTCTTAATCCAACTACACTTGAAGCCTTGCTACCAATTGCATTGAATGGCTAACATTGTCTGTAAATGTGGTTTTTGAAGGCTCCTTGACATTAATTGGTGGTGATCCGGGTGTTGGGAAGAGTACTCTTTTGCTGCAGGTATGAATTATACTGGCCACTGGGATGGTAAAGCTGGATTTTAGAATTTTAGATGGTTAACTTATTTATTTATTTAATGGACTTGGACAATGCTGGCTAACGTTTGTTTACTTTTAACATTGGATTGGAAGATAGCTTCAATCATTGCAGAAGGGCACCATGATGGTAAAGCATCTCCAGTTATATATGTCTCTGGTGAAGAGGTTTGCTTTAAGCAAGTATTTCGCTAGTTTTAAATTTTGAAAATTGATATTCCAAATTGCTGAAGTTAAAAGCTCATAGAGCGAGTAAAAATCTAATTCATTTTATT